AAACTAAAACAAACTTAATACAAAGTCATAAAGATCACGAATAGGCAGAATTTAATGCTTTTATGAAAGTATTAAATTTATAATTTTAAGTATTAAATTTATGGCTATAAGGATTTAAATAATATCACAGGCAATATTTGTTATTCCTCATACTGTTTATTTTTATTTGTACTTGTGTGATTAGTATTTCCGACGTTCATACAAAAAGTTTGACCACAATATAATTCTCTTTTGACCAAATTTTTCTTATTATTGTTAATGCATAGATGCAGAAACATTGCATGTCTTAGCATAAAATAAGACAATCTGTTATTTTGTTCGTAACAACGAGAGAAAAACAAATTGTTTGAATTAAACGTACCCACAAAAAATATAATTATGAGTATATAAAGCAGTTTTTTGTCTACAAAGTAGTGTTATGTAAACTATTAAATTAGGCCGACGATATGTACACAAATATTTTGAGCCCTAATTCTTTTCAACACATATTATAAAATCATCGTCCCTGTTGTATAACACAAGTAACAATCTTAATTGAATATATAATAATGTAAATATAAAAAAATGATAAAGGTATACAAAATTTAACTTCCTGACTCTTTAATCAATAAATTTTATTTTATAATTTTGATTAACTAATTTGAAAAAAAAACTAGTTAATTGATTTAAAACGCATTTAGTTTTTTTTTTAATTTTTATTTATACTCATTTTCCTAGATAGGTCAATTTATTGGACTTCGATTAAGGGTCTATCAATTTGGTTATTTAAATTATTTCTTTAAAAATAAAGCATAATTTTTATTTCACGCGCAATAACTAACTTAAAACTTAAAAATAACTTATTCCTAATCAATTTTCAAAATAATGTGTTGAAAATCTAAATATTATTATATGTATGTATATACGTTATACAAAAAAAAAGTGATTACATTTGTATATAAATTTGCACATACTCATATATGTGGAATTGTATATGTTGGATGGCAAGTTGTACATTGTAATGATTCGCGACCTAAAGGACCAACTGTTTGCCTCCCCCCCTCTAGTAGTTTTCCTAGTGTTAAATCAATGTAGTCTAGTCAATATTAGTATATACTGCGAAAAGTTGTGTACGAAAGTAGATGTAGTTTGGAATAAATTAAATTTTGAGCATTAGCGTTTTTCATAAAATAAAATTAAAAATCTCACATATTTAACCTCGTTAGGTTTGGTGGCTATATGGAAAATATATCAAAGTAATTATCTTACATTTCTGTTGAATTTTACAATAAAATTAGTTTAGAGTATTTGCAAACCTCTTTTACATGTCGAGCTTTAATATTCAAAAAGTTGACGAGACTTATTATCACAAATTTTGAAAATTTGTATCACTGAAAGTTCACGTTGCAAGACAGGAAATGTTGTTTCGAAATAAAATTTTTGTTTTACTATGAACAAGCAGCGTCTATTTTCAGTATAATGTATAAATTTGAAGTGTTATAATATATATGTATAAGTGTAGGTAAATTTAATTACCTTCCTATATTAATTTATCCTTATTATTTAATGAATCTATTATTCTTTTTGTTAAATCTTTGCATTTGTATAAAGTTGAAATTACGATTATCATGTATATGAGTGTGCGCTAATATGTTATACCAGACGTCGGGTCCTATTTGAATTCAGAGTCGTGGAAAAACCAATAAAACTTAAAGATTTGGGTGTTTGCTTGATGCTAAATTGTAATTCATTAATATTAATAGCATATACATATTAATGAAAGGGCGAGCTTTTGTTCGAAATTATTTAACGTTGATTAAACCAATGGATCATCAATTGGGATATTAATAATCAGTATACATTTTAAAGTCGTTGCACTCCTTTCGTATTCGTTCTCATTTTGATTACACTTCACAAGTGTGATAATTATATTACAATATTCATATTAATAGGATTGAGTCAATTTAAAATTATTTTTTAAGTTTTCTTATCTTAACTTTTATCCTTTCTTTTGTCCCTACTCGAACAAGCTTAAATTAATTGATTTATCAATGTTAGGCAATTGCAGTTGTGATTTTTGTTTTTCAACTTACGAATTCTGACTTAATTTTTTCCGGCATCATAAACAAAATTTTTACTAACTTTAAAGAAAAGTCTGTTCTCTATTGTAAAATGTTTGAGCTAGACATGAAATACAAAAATATAAATAAGTCATAAAATAATTAAATATCGAAAAGGGCTAAATTGTATACAATTCTATAAATATTTTTTTATCTTTTACACTCTCATATATGCAATAAGCGCAAAAGAAATATAAAAATTAATTGCGCGCGGCGGAGAAATTAATTTTAGCATATATTTTCAATAAAAAAAAAACTTGTTTATCAGTTTCAGTCGGGCCGCGCTACTGTCTGTGCATCTGTTCACAAAACTTCTGTACATTTGTAGATAGAAAAGAAACCCTTTGCAAGAAATCTATACTAAAGGATTCAAGTCTTCCTTTCTGTCAAGTTATTCTCAAAATTAACAAAATTCCAATTTTCGGCTCTTTGTTCTTCAAGTCTCCTTAATTTCTATAAAAACAAGCAACAAACGAGTTACCATCAAAATACCATCCCTTTCTCCAATAATAGTAAATTAAAAAGAATAATTTAAAAATTAGTTTTTTAAAAAGAGTATTTTGACCTTCAATGCTCGAGAGAAATGCACAACTGTACAAACCATTGATTTAATTCGAATAAGTTATAACCAAATTTTGTGTTCAAACCAAATCAAAATATGTATAATAAAATTTATTTATTTTTAGGTTCCTATGGTTTAATGAGAGGCTTATTTAAGATTGATATATACATTTGCATGTGCATATAGTTGTATTTATTAATAAAGGGAGTGATTCGCCCCCATCTCTCACAAATTAAAAAAAAATGCAAATAAATTAATGTATTGGTATTTATTACTATTTTCTGATCGAATGTTATCGATAGATACAAAACAAATTATATATATTAGAATAGGAAAAAATTTGAATGTTTTTACAGAAACAATAAAAAACAAAATATGAAAAAAGACATTTTAGTATGTATACATAATAACAAATACAAGGAATAGAATATACAACTAGAGTCTATAAGTAAATAACGTAAATATATTATTTATGCAATAACTAAAACTTATTTTTGTGGCAAACATAATTTACAGGATGTTTTGCGAAAGATTCTAAACCCAAACAAAAACTCGTAAAAGTGGAAATTTTTGTTTTTTTTTTTTTTTTTAATTTCGAAAAGTACATACATACGTTGATTCATAAAGTAGACATGAATGCAAGTAATTTATTTACTTTCAATTAATTCAATTTATTTAATGAAATTCATATTTTAGCATGTAAGTTTCCTACACATTTAAAATGTTTGTTTAAAAGAAAAAAAAAACAAGAGAGTGAGAGGAAAACGTTTTACAGACTTTTATTTTTGGCAACTGATTTTTTTATTGAAAAGTGATCGAAGAACAATCCCTAAAATGATTTGTAATTTTATGGAAAACATCCTGTATAGTGACAACCAAAAAACTACATAAACAAATTCTATATGTATATGTCAATCAGTGCCTATGTATTTACATAAATATACTGACATTTTTATGTAATTCATTTTGTATCAATATTTTTATTGAATTACTATATTATGTACAAGGATAAAAAAAAATTTTTACATATTTTATTCATATAAAAGGAACAAATACACATTATATTTGTGTACACTTGTAATGTATGGCATTTGGTTTGGTGACAGCCGGTACAATGCGTGTAAAATAACTGTTAGAAAATTTGTAACATATTTATGTTCAAATATGCTTCCCATATTTAAACTACATCCTTATGTGCATATACATATATATATTGCATTATACGATCTTAAAAAATCAGAATAGTGTAAAAAATTTTAGCATAAATAGAGCTAAAAAATTAAAAAAAAAATCTATGTTGCTTTTTGAGGCCAAGTAGTAAAAAAATATTCTTTTTTCGTACATAAATAAAATTCATAAATGAATTTTTTTTTATCTGTTATACAAATCACATACATATATGTATATACATTTGTGAATATTTCAATATTTTTTTTAAACATATGTATTTACATACACAGATATCTGTGACAGAGTCAGGTTCCATGTTTGGTTTTTGAGCGAATTGATCTTTCGAAAAGAAACAAATAATTAGAAATCTAAAAAAACAATTAAGTTAATCATACAAAACTATGTTTGATTTATTAAATCAAATCCTATTCTCACATAAATACATTTTTACTATACATATTTATTATAATTCAAAATAAAAGTTTCTAACTTTTGAAACACTTTCATTTCAAAATAAAACTTTATATTTTATAATGGCTTATTCCACAGCACAGTAGAAATGATTTTTTAAACATCATTTTGTAATTTTTGGGGAATAAATTTAGTTTATGTACATGATGTATGTAAAATAATATTTTGGGAGTTATTCAAATTGGAAATCAAGCGTTTCACTTTACAGAAAAGGTTAAACATTTTACCTACTGTAACGGTTACATTGCCTAAACGAAACGTTTTCGGAGAAAGAATGGAAGAAGCAGCGTTGGTATAATTGTCGAATTCAAAGATAAATCGTTTAATCTTTAAAAATTGTAGGATTTTTGATTCAAATTAAATATGCGTCAAGATAATTAATTATATTCCTTGATGAAAAGACATCTACTGTTAGTCTTTTTGCGGAAATTCGGTGAAACTTGCATTTCCGAAAACATAAATTGTCACAACTTGAACTTTTACGAATTGCAGTTGACGGTCCCCCCTCCCCCTCCTTATGTTACGTATAATATTTGTGAAGAAGATTCATTTTCAATTTCGTTGCAAAATTGCTATAATTTAAAAAAAAACAATATGGGCTGGGCTTGCATAAATAGTTGTATATATGTACATATGTACATATGTAAATTCAATTCTAAATGCATTTGTAATAATTTTATTTTTATATTTATATGTAGGTACCATATAAGGATCATCGTATATCCACCTTAAAAACGCAAGGATCACCGAAACGTACCATTCCTGGTAGTGGAATTAACTCAATTGATCGACGTAAACCACCATTTTCTAGGCAGTTAAGTAAAACTCGTGTACCGGAGCCTGCTTCCACTTTACCAACTTATCAACCAACAACAACACCACCAGCAAGTGCAACTGGTAACACTGGTGCAACAATTCCGACTCGTCAATCAACTCCAAGAATGGGAAGTCCCCCACCAGCAGATCCTAATAGTTTATTGCGTCAAAATCACGAATTACGTCAACGTCTGCAAGATGAAGCATGCAATTACCGACGTAGAATTGATACATATAAGCAAGCTCAATCAAATCAAGCTGCCTTAGTAAGCCGCTTGCAAGCTAAAGTAATGCAGTATAAACAACGTTGTAATGAGTTAGAAGGAAAGATGATAGAAACTATAAAACCTCCACCAATTTCACCAGCATCGACAAGCCATTTAACAAACAAACCAGTTTCATTGACCGGACCTGTAAGATTATTTTTTATATTTTATTTAAAATTTAAAAAAGAAAAAACAGTATAACGTTATAATTTTTTTAGTGTTCCTTACCACCAGTTACAACATCGATACCATGTCAAGGATCACTTGATTCCCCACCACCATGTCCTGGAGAATATGTTCATCATGATGATACTGAAGATTTATTAAGAAATTTGGAAGATGAAAAAAACCGTTGTGAAAGTTTAATCGCCCAGAACACAGCTCTGAGACAACAATTGGAGGAATCTAATCGTACTAATGAAGCATTAACAAATGATTTGCAAAAGCTCACTAATGATTGGGCTAATTTAAGAGACGAATTATTAGCAAAAGAAGACGAATTCAACCAGGAAGAACAGGTAGATATTTCGATGTGTTTATATGAAAATTATGATGCCCTAATCAAGTTTTTCAAAATAATCTTTTTTTTTGCAAAATGAAACATCAAATTTGTTTTTGATGAAAGTATAAATCATTATCATATCATTATTTATTATGGTTAAAATCGCTGATTTGAAATTTGTATTTAATATTTTGTTAGAGTTGACATACAGATCTACTTAATTACGATTTCTTCTTGTAATCAGAAGTTGCATATAAATCCGTCAAATGCAATAACATATTTTTTGGATATCTCTATGTAAGGGTAATCCCAAAATGTATGAGCAATGCGTTTGAAAAAATGGCTCAAATAAATAATTAAATTACTCAACTCCAATATAAATTACGATATAACTCAACATCAACAACTAAGCAAAAAGCTGAAATATTAAGAATTAAATGAGTTTAAAACTCTCATTAATAAAAATTTTGCGAATTTGTATTACATAAAATCCACCAAAGAGATTCGGTTATCACAATTCGCGATAAAAAAAATCTTAAGAATTTTTACGATGATCGATTTTTCGAGTAATGGCAGCGTACTTCTTAATTTTCTTAACGAATAAAGATGAAAAGGGGAATTACCGAATATAAAATTTAGTATATATACAAAATAAAATTTATTCTTGCTTTATATAGTAATTTTTACGAAACACTTAGATATGAGAATAAAGATGTTAACGAAATATGTAGTGTGAAAAGAAATTTCGAGTAGGTTCAGTATGGAAAAATACAATACATTTATTGTCCGTTTAGGACGTTCGGCTACCTGCTCTACAACTTCAAAAGTTGTTTTTCTATTTCTCAGAAATTATTTAAATTTATTTTGATCAAATAATTTTTAAGCTAAATTTTTTGCAAAAATTTTTTTTCGAGCTTTAATTACCCGGTACTAAAATAAGGAATAAAAATAAGATTTTAAGTGTCAATTAAATATATTGAATTGTGCTTAATCAGTTTATGTATCGAATAATTTTTCATGAAATCCGCAATTTACGAGTTAAGGTAATATGAGCCACTTTTTTTATTACTTGAACAATTACATATGTACATATTAAGCAATATTGCAATGCTGAACTAATGCAACTGCAAAAATCTTTTCCTGTTGCGATTATCATAAACTGTATTCTCACTTGGTTAAAACAAAATGCATCCAATTTCGAGAAAAAAATGTATCCAAAATGCATTCAGCCTCGTAAAGTAGAATTGTTGTACTAAGTCGCCTTATGTTGTACAAATTAACTTATAATTTATATCAATCTGTTTTATTGTTTTATTATTTTACTGTATTTTAATTATGAAAGTTAAGGTCAGAAAATATACATAATTTCGCTGCAGTAAAGACGATTTACCATGAAAATTTTAAAAAATATGTGCAGCCAATGTGTTTTCTACTACACCTAGCTTACATGAAATATGTTTCTGGTAATCTAGTATGTTCTTGAGTAAAAGTTCTGAATTTGAACATAAGGAGTGTGATACTAATTTAATATACTAGTATCTTTGTTACTTCCTTCTAAAAAATTTTGAAATCTGTTTAGTAAAATCTGAAAATAAAGCAATTTCGCGATTTAATATTAGCAGCACTTTGACAGTTTTGTATTATTTATTTACTGTTTGAGGAAGAAATGTATCCATGTTTCAGAAAAATTTTCAAAAGCAGCCAATTGCGGCATTTTAGTAGATTTGAGTATTTTTGTATTTACGCTAAATTTAAAGCAAAAATGTATCCAAATGTATACAACACACTTGAATATGCAAGTGGGAACGCTGATCACAGTGGGTAATTTGCAGTAGAATCCGGCATGGCAACTCTGTTGATGAAATAGATGAATTATCGAATTCGATAAGCTATAAAAATTGAAGTCCGGAAAACAGTGTTCCCCCTCAATAAAAACAAAATGTATCCAATTTCGAGAAAAAAATCTATCCAGCCTCCTAAAGTAGAATTATTATACTAAATCGTCTTATTAAACCAATAAACTTATAAATAATATTAATTTGCTTTATTCAACAATGTGAGTTTCGTTATTTATAGTAAATTCTTTTAGAAATCACACGCAATTTCTATTACATTTTAAAATTTAAGGTCAGAAAATATATGTTCTGTAGCTGTTGAACTATGCGGTAAAAACGATTCAACACGAAAACGGGCAAATTTATTTAGTCAGCAAATAACATTTTTTGGAAGATAATACACTTAAAAGTTACAGCACTTTAAAAGTTTTCTAACATTTATTTAGTGTTCGAGAAAGAAATGTATCCATATTTCAGCAAAATTTTAAAATGTAGCCAATTTCGACATTTTAGCAGATTTGAGTATCTTTGCATCCAAGTTAAATTTTAAAGCTGGGAACGCTGCCCGAAATTGAAAGTCTAACGCGTATAAAAAGTACATACAACTTAAGCTTTATGATATTATTGAAAATTAATTACAAACAAAAATCCAACAGCAATAAACACATTTAAGTCTACCAATACTTAATCACATCAATACACATCGACTTAATTTAAATTTACAAATTTTTAAATTTGGAGGTCAAGCAGAGTCAGATCACTTTAAGTCTATTTCATTACGACGTCGTAACAAAATTTGAGGGAGAATAGACTTCAAGCATTTCGTTTTGCTTGTCAAAACCCAATCTTCATCCCCTGTTTTGAACCTATTATTGTTGAAAGTTTGCTGTTATGTATATATTGACACCAAATTATAATCTGTGACTTTTAAAGTTTAAATGAAATTTTCTTGCAAGAAAACCTTAAGCAACATATTGCTTTCGTTTTGAAAGCAATATGTTGCTTTAGGTTTTTCGTTTATATACATATGTATCCATATTATTAATAATAATAAACATTATGTAGTCGATACTTTGTTTATTTCTTAAACAAAATTAGTTGTATTTTATATTCTACATTAATTTGTAATGATTGCATGTGTATTAATATTACACATACTTAAATTATATCAAATCAAAAAAAGCCTTAAAGTATGTTTATTGCAAAATAATCTATTTAAAAATTTCAAAATCATAAAGTTTGAAATTCATGCTACATGATGTATTCAAATGTTACTAAACATTAACACATTGCCGACCGCACGAATTTCAACTGAATATAAGTTATCCACCGCACATTTTTGATTCTATCAACATTGTCTTCTGAAAATTCTGATTCAGTATCAACGTAAAATTTTTCAAAAGCATCTTCAATTTCCTGCGACATTTTATTAAGGTCTTTTATTATATTACAAAAATATATTACAAAAAAGATATAGAGTTGTTCGATGATAAAAGATAAAGATATGCGATGATACTATAAGCTATAATTTAATATCAGCAATATTTCTTTTCTGCTGAAGAAATATTGCTGGTATACCGTTATACATTGCGACCAATATATATAATACAATATATATATATTTAATATACTTAAAACCATGTATGCAGTACTCCATTGCTTTACATTGTCAAACGGGGAGATTTCCCCGATCGGTCGTACACTGAGATTTTTTATAACGGGGAAATCTCCCCGTTCAGTCGGCAATGTGTTAAATAATTTTTGAACAATTGTATATATACATATATGTACTCGAAAAATTACTTTAACAAAGTTACAATAAATTTTGAAATTAACTAAATGTATAAATGTTTATTTAATCAAATATAATACCAAAATATCGAATTTAAATATTACAGGCTTTCAACGATTATTATAACAGTGAACATAACCGATTGTTGAAAATGTGGCGTGAAGTCGTTGCAGTAAAACGTTCATTCAAAGAAATGCAAGCTGCTATGAAAGCTGAGCTAGGTAGAATGCGAGTTGAGGTTAATGGAACCAATCGTAAGTAACATTTAAATAATTATACATAACCTATGTATGTACATATGTAGTTAAAATAAACGACATAGTATGAATTTACTAAAACTCATAATTTTTTCCTACATAACTACTTTAGGCGAAGTAAGTGCTGCGTGCAACGGTGTTTCGTTTAATTTAAAACAGCAAAACCGTTTGAGCGAACAACATCAAAACCAATTAGAACGTGATTCAAATGAACTAAAGAATCAAATTGCACTTTTGAAAGGTCAATATGAAAACGCTCGTCATGAAATTAATCAACGTGATTTGCGTCTTCAAGAATTAATGACACAAATTAAACTTCTTGAAGATCGATGTGGTGTGGCAGAAGGCCAAGCTATTCAAACAACACGTTTAAATGACGAAATCGAACGTTTGAACTGTGCTTTACGTGATATAGCTCATGCAGTTGTGCAAGATGCTGAAACATCGGCAGAAACAACAAATGACGACACACCTACTGCTCAGCAACATTTGCATTTATCACAGGCTGGCGTTATGGGTGCACCAAAATCACCAAGGCGTGGATCAACAAGGTCGCTGCAGGCGTTTGCAGAAGGAACAATTTCCGCCGTTCAAGCAGCATTACATAAATACCAGTTGTCATTACATGATTTACAAGTTAAATGGCAATCTACAAATGAAAATCTTTTAACTACGAGGAAGCAATTAGAATCTGCAGAAAATGCTAAAGAGTTTTTGACAGCAAAAGTTTCTCAGCTAACTGAAAAACTGGACTCAAGCAATGCCCAACTTTCCGAACTGTATAAGGAAAGGGAGAGCCTTCAAAGAACTTTGGATAGTTTAAGAGCGGAAAAACAAAACGTTGAAAGAGGAAGAGCAGAATTAAATGCTGTGGTAAATGCCGTCTTTTGTAATTATCCTAAGCATATAGTTACATAAATATGCACATGTATATATGTATGTATATGAATGTATACGCATAATATGTAATATACATACATTTTATGTAACTTTATTTATTATAACATTGTTTACCTTTTTCAAAATTATTAACCTGCATCCTTAAAATCTCTAAGTATTTATTTACACTTATAGGTTGATAACTTAAGTTGTGATTACGAGAAACTTCAACTGAGTCATGGAAAATTACAAAAACATATTGATATGCTAGAAGAAGACAAGAAAGCTTTGGAGCTGGAAATACAAAGAATACTGAAAGATAAAGATATAGCCGATATGAACTTACGGTAATATTTTTTTATTGAATTAAAAATTGTAAACCCTTAACGAAGAGAAAACAAGATTTCTATTGCACACGTTTATACACGACTACCATAAGAATTAAGAAAGAGATTCCTTTTAAAAAAATTATGTTTTTCTAAAATTTTGCTTAATTTAATATCCATCAAAAACCCAAAGTTTAAAAGAAAATATAAAAATTCGTTTTGGTCAGAGAACTCACAATATGATGTATTTTGGTTTTGGTAGACTTTGGTCTTTTAAAACAATACGCAGAATTGAAAAAGGTGATTATATTATTATGATTTCTGCAAATAATGTTTATTAAATAACAGTACATATTACACTACATTGAAAAATTGAAATTTGTAAGGGATTGAATAGGCGTTGGTGGTGTAATGGTTAGCATAGTTGCCTTCCAAGCAGTTGATCCGGGTTCGATTCCCGGCCAACGCACTCTTTTTTGATTTTTTTTTTCAATTAAAAAAATTTCCTTTTTAAATGCGGTTACTTTAGAAATAGCTTCCAATATCATAAGTATTTGAAAAATACAATTATATGAGGACTTTATTGCTTTTTCATTTTTTTTATTTAACGGAACTCTGCAGTTCTTTAAGATAAATAAATGGAGAAAGAAAAAAAATTTACGAAAACAAAAAAAAAAACAAAAAATTTATCCCCTCCGTGACAATGCTTTTCACATTGCCGTGACCAGGATTCGAACCTGGGTTACTACGGCCACAACGTAGGGTCCTAACCACTAGACGATCACGGCTATTGGGTATATAAAATTGGGTCTTTTATTACGATTTTATACCTCTTACCAACAAATAAAAATTAAAAAAAATTTTTGGAAACATTCATTATCATTTTTTGTTGCAAATAGATATTTCAAGGTACATTCCATTTGCCTTAAAAAGAAATATGTATATGTAAGTAAACTACATGTTTGTAGTAAAAGGATTAAATGCCTAAACAATATTAATAGTCATTTAAACTGGTATCTATTTTTCTAAAACGCATCATATAATGTGACTGAATATTCACACATATTGTAGTTTTTTGATTAAAATCAATTTTGAAAGTTAAGGGTATGTACTGAAATCATACTGTGATGGGATGTTATTGAATAATGTCCAATGCAGATTATAATTTACGTAATATAAGTATATACATATATTCAGTATTTTGTATGATTTATGTTATCGTAAGAATATCATATACATATATTTTTCGTTTTTATTAAAAATCAAAATAAGAGAGCACAATAATTTGAAAGTAAAATATAATTAATATGTACTATTTGATGTGCTTAAAATTGTAAATGTTAAATATCTTTTTAGCGCTGAAGAAGACCGCAATAGCCGCTTGCGCGAAGAAACTATATCTCTGAGAGAGGAATTAAATAAACTCTACCTAAACAGAGACTTATTAGAGCAACAACGTTTAGAGTCAGAAAATCTAATAAATCTTTTAGAAAAGCAGAAAGCTGACTTAGAATTTGATGTTGATAAACTTTTAATGGAAAAATCTGAATTACAAAATCGTTTGGACAAAATGTCATGTTGCAATGACTCTGCAAATGATGAATTAAAACAATTGAAAGACAATTTATCTGAAGTGGAATGTGAACGCAATAAATTAAGATGCCAAACAAATGATCAAGCAACAGATATTGCATCGTTGAAAAAAGAACTTATTTCAGCTGAACAAACACGATTAGATTTAGAATCTGAAAAATTGGCGTTAACTGAAAAAATTAAAATTATCGAAATTGAAAAGGAAAAGGTCGAACAAGAATTAGCTTGCGTCACCCGCGACCGTGGAGACTTACATAATCAGCTAACCGCCTTAAATCGCAAAAAAGAATCTATTTCTGAAGAACTAATGAGAACACGTCAACGTCTGGAACAAGCAAATGAGTGTAATAATCGTTTAAATAGAAATTTAGAAGAATTAGTTAAAGAAAATGAGGAGAGACAAATTATAATTGAGGGTCATGAGAAGGAAATGCAGAGGCTTCAGGTAATAACAAAAAATAAATAAACAATGCAAAGCAATGCAATAAATTACAATTAAGAAGTTCATAGCTTGAATGATCAAACTTTGTAAAATAAAAAACAAAAAGAAGTGCGTTGGCCGGGAATCGAACCCGGATCAACTGCTTGGAAGGCAACTATGCTAACCATTACACCACCAACGCCTTGCATTATAATTTGAATTTGTACTAGATTAATTTAAAGAGCTTTTTTTATATTTTTAAAGCTTTGTCGATCATTACATCAAAACTTTTTATAAAATGATTTGGTAAACAAAATTCATACAAAAAAAAATTACTTACTTCACATTTTGTGACTAAATTTTAAATATTACGTTATTACTGAGATTTACCAATTTTCAGAAATATTACCTTGCTATTTCTGGGAATTGGTAAATTTCGTGAGTTTTAAAGTACTCGCATACGTACTATTGATACTTATTTTTACACCAAATAAAAAGTTAAAATGTACAAAAAGCTTAGCACAGGAAAATCAGATTTGTATTGAAATAATCTTTAATTCGAATTGCTGATCTGATCACATTACCTTTTTTTTTTTTTGCGTATAAGGCGTTAAGAACACAGCCGTTTTTAATTTTTTATCATATTCATTTTTCTAATTTAATCATTCTTTCCTTTGAATTTTTCCAGTACTACGAATTTAAAAATATTAAAATAACTTTTCAAAGTAGTTTTTTTTTTGTTTTTTTTTTTCTTTTCTTTTTTGAAATAATGTATAAAGAAACTATTTAACACTGTTGATAAAAAAACTAGGTTACACCAAACTGATTGAGTAATCCTAACATTTATTATTTGTATATAAATCTAGATAAATAAAATAAATGTATGAATAATAAATGAATATAAATAATTTGAAATTTTTCACTATTATTTGCAAGGGGTAGTTCTGGTGTTCAATTTACATACATAGATTGAAGCAAATTGTACATTTCTTAATATATTTATGCTAGATTACAGTAATGTGCTTCTCTTATTTATACATACGTATTTAATAAAATTAAACCAAAAAAACAATTAATCTGTAAATTAAATTCATAATTTTACCTTCCTTAAATTTAAAATTTATTAGAATAAAAAAGAAAAATGCTTTTTGTCCATTTTTTTCTAACGAAAAAAAAACTCCACTTTTTAAAAAATACTTCAGATCGTGAGCGTCGTGAAATTGCAATGCAAATTTCAGATATACTTTTATGCTACATATAAGAAACCATAATGTTTTTTTATATGTGGGATAAAAGTATATCTACTCGTAAAATTCAGCATAAAAATTACTATAATAAAAAATTACTTCTGATTGTAATTGTTTACTGTAACAGTTCATGAAACATATACATATGTTATATGTATGCCTCAAGACAAAAATTTTATATTTGTAATGTTTATTTGTAAAAATTTTATATTTGTAATAGGAACTTCTCGCTTCATTAAGAAGTGAAAAAGAATCACTTGAAGCTGTGCTATTCGATACCAATACAACATTGGAAGCAACTGAAGAAAAACGTTCACAACTGGAACGTGATGTTCAGGATCTTTTAATAAAAGAAGAAGGATTAAAAAATCAAGTGGCACGATTACAAAAAGAACTTGATTCCGCTAATCGGCGGGCCCAAGAAATGAAAGTTCAACTTACAAATGCAGCTCGCGCTCAGGAAAATGATTTCTTACAGAAAATAGCAAATCTTAAAGCTCTCAATGATGAAAATTCAAGAAAATTGAATGAAGAAAAAGAGATAATTCGTTCATCATTAGAAAAACGTATGCAACAAAGTTTACAAGCCCTACAAGGTGCCAAGGACGAAGAAATCGATAAATTACAAGAAAGAATAGAAGGACTTCAAAATCATTTAGAAACCATGGCGCAACAACATGAAGATTCTATGATTAGAGCTGAAAATGAAAAACAGCAAGCTCTCTTGATAGGTTAAAACATCTTAATTTTAATAATACGAAAATATATATTACAGAATGTATTTAATTTATAAAAATTTTATAAATAGCTGCCAGAGACAAACAAGCTCTAGCTGAAAAATTGGAAGGAGTTACTAGAGAACTTAAAAATGAACAAGATATTTTAGAACGATGTCGCCGCGACGGTGCTGCTAGGGATGAAAAAGGTCGAAATTTAGTTTTACAATTAAAAGATGAAATAGCTCTTATAAGAGCCAAAGGGGAAGAAACCAAGTAAGTTTAAGTACCTTCTAAAAATTGATTCTATGAATAAGAATTCGAATTTATGTAAATGATTTTTTAAACAAAATAACTTGATTGGAAAGTACAGGTAAAAATAATGAAAATCAATTAAATTAACTTTATACGTTATAATATTACTTTGAGTTCTTCAGGTATCTATCTAATATTTTATAAAAATAATTGCAGAGGTCATCTCGAGGAAGAGGTGAGCAAATACGAAATTCAACTTTCTTCAATGAAGGAAGAACGTGACGGAGCCTGTCGTCAAATTGATGAATTAAAAATGGAAATCCGTCTTAAAGAAGATAAAATCGAAAGTTTAAATCAACAGCTTCAAGATACAATTAGAAAACTACGAGAAGGTACGTAGCATATACAAACATGCATATATAAAAATTTATAAACATGTGTCTATTTGAAACGAAAAATATCTTTTAGCCGAGAACAGTTTAGACGGTGTTCGTAGGGACTTAATGGATACACGTCGTACTTTAGCTGATAGTAATATTGAACGTGACAAGTATGCAGCCAGTAACAGAGAACTTCGGGATCATGTTAAGCAAGTTGAAGCATCAAAGCGTGAGCAAGCTAGAACTCTTGAAGAGGCATTACAAAAAATTTCTAGTCTGGAAGATACTCGTAATAGCCTTGAAAACGAAAAAACTCGTCTGCAAACACTTCTAAAAGAGACTGACCATAACTTAAATAAAACAACTCAAGATTTGAATTGTTGTAAAAATCATCTCCATAAGCTGCAAATGGATAACACTCAAAAAGATGTTGTAGAAAAAGAACTCCAGAGTAGACTATGTAACGAAACTGAAGAACGTGAACGTATAGCATGTGAACTTAATCAAGCCAAAAAACAGTTAGCTGATTTGGATGCTAATTTGTGTGCAACTCGTCAAGAGCTTGCTAGAGCTAGATGTCAAACTAACCAAGACGAACATAGATGGCATCAAACACAACAAGAACTTACTACTCGCATAGAAGAAGGACGCGGACGCGAAAAACGTTTAGAAGATCAGAAACATAATTTAGAGGTATGTTTAGCTGATGCTACTCAACAAATTCAAGAATTAAAAGCACGTTTAGGTGGCGCTGAAGGCAGGGTGCGAGCTTTAGATGAACAATTAGCTGCAACGGAAGCTTATAAAAAAGATGCAGAAAACAAATTGAACTCTATCGGCCACACTTTGCGACGTATAGCTGGTATTCAATTCGATGGTTCTGTAAATCTATCATATCGTTTAACTAGCCCTTCAAGACGTTATAGCCCTGTAAGAAGCACTTGTCCACATGACTACGATAATCGAAGTGTTTCAGGATGTCCAGATGGGCCACCAATAGATGTTGATCCAGAAATGATACGTAAGGGTGTACGATCGTTAATGCATCAAATAGCACAAATCGAACGTGAAAAGGACGATTTCAAAATGCAGTTATGCACTGCCAAGAAACAATTGCAAGAAGCTTGTGAACAACAAATACGCTGTGATAACAAAACGTCGAAATTACAACAGATGCTAAGAAATCTTCAAGACGAGAAAGCTAATTTAGAAGCACAATTAAATATGACTAAATCGTCATTACATTCAACCGAAGAAGCTCTTAAGGAAAAAACAGAGGAAGCAGCTCAACTACGTGAAAAGGCTACTAGCTTAGAAATGCAGTTAGCCACCTCTGGCGAAGAAAAATCTCAAGTTGAAGACCGTCTAGAAAAATGTCGCCAAAATGGTCAAAAATTAGAATCAGAAAAACGGCAACTTCAAGAAGAACTAGCGCGAACTGAAGGTAGAGCATCTAAATTAGATTTACAGCGAGTTGCATTGGAAGGAGATATAACGCGTTTGCAAATGGCTCTTCAAGAGAAGGATTGCACTATAAGAGGGCTTCAGGAACGTTTAGATACACTTACTAGAACCAGTGCTCAACTGGAGGACCGTTGTACATCATTAAAAACAACATTAGATCAACTTAAAGACCGATTACAAAAAGCAGCTTTAGTTGAAACTGAGCTCCGTGGCGAAATTGCAGGTTTAAACAAAGAAAAAGCTGAACAAGGGCATTGTGTACAAGCTGGACAAGATAAAATGAAGCAATTGCAGAAAAATTTGCAGGCCATCGAAAATGAAAAAAAAATACTTGCAGAACGACTAGACGCCGCCCAAAATAATCAAAATGAGCTAAGGCGCAATCAACAAGCTCAACAAGACTTAGCTCAGCGACTCCAACAACAGGTTGCTGATCTAGAAGTACAAAAGTCATCTTTAGAATCTCAATTAAGAATCGCGAAATGGAATCAAGAAAATGCAGATACTGGTGGGCAAGGCGGTAATGATGGTGATTTATCGCGTCAACTGCTAGCTGCCCAAAGAGAAAAATCTGAATTAAAATCAAAGCTTGAAGCACTTAAAGAAAAAGTTAAGGATATGGAAGATAGACCTAGTAAATTCTCTGGAAATGTAAAATTCGATCGTTCAGAGAAAGGAGTATATGGTTTAGATGGTTCAATGGATTCTAATCGTTTAGAAACCGAAAGCTACTTACGACAAGGAAATTATAATTGTGGTTTGGATCATGCATTAATTGAACAGGAAAACAGAGATTTGAGAATGAAAGTTCGTCGCCTAGAAACACAATTAGCTGAAAAAGAGGCGGAGTTAGCGCGAGTGAAAGCTCGTGCGATAGAAAACTCAAAAAGTTTGGGTGGTGAATCAGATCGCTATAGAAGTGCTCAAATGCAAGCAGAAAAATTATTAGATGCAAGAGAACAAGCTCATAAACAACAAGTTTTAAGACTAGAAAACCAGGTAAATTTAATTGATAAATAATTTGAAAAAAGATTTCAAATCAATGAATATTTTAAAGTGAAATAATTCAGTGATGCTTAATTTTAATAAATTTGATTTACACACAAAACGTTTAAAAACAAAATTAATTTTTTGACATTATTCATGTATTCGTTTTGTGAAATATGAAAGAATAGAGATCATGATTTTATTTTGAGTTGATATCTTTTTATTTTCGTAGACGTTTGATCTTTAGTTTCAAGCTCATCTTGGCATAGGATATAGTTTATCATTCAACTTTTATTTATTTTTTCGAATAAAATTATAAGCCTACTTGACTAACTGCCAAAACCAAACGACATTATCAAAAATTTGCTTGTTATTAATTGCAAAAACAAGTTTTTTATTTAACCTTCTCTCTTTCATCAACCGTTTCATATTTAAAAAAATCTTTGTTACAAGATTTATCTATGCAATCTGTTTTCTTCAGCATATTCTGCTTTCTACAGCTAACTTGGTTTTCGTGCACATATCTTTATTTCTAACTATTTTCATCTTAATACCTCTCCTGACATTTTAATTCTAAGTAGGTGTTATTGCGTCTGCCATAAGTAATTTCATTATCAAATAATTAATAGATTTATCTGCAATTAGCTTCCGCTAGCAATCCATTTTTTGTGTTAACAATAAGATCATTACTTACATTACCGCTATAGTCAGGTCACTTGTATCTTTTTAAAGCGCAAGGATCATTCTCAATTCTTTATCACCCTTTTCTTTTTTTTTTTATTTAATTTTTATCTTTCAAAGTATGTATAAAAACTTTTGTAATAAATTTTACGACTTTTCTTCAGAAATTGTGTTTTCTTCGATATTTGATTGTTAGCAATGATTATTTTTGATTTTGTTTTTGTGTTCTACAGAAAGTTTATGGCTTAATATAATATGCACTTTTTTATTTTATCTTACAATAAATTTATAATTGCGAAAAAAGTTGTTTTTGTTACATTCATAAAAATAATTTAATTTTCCATAAATTTGTGTAATTAACATACTTTTTGTTTTTAGATTTCAATGCTTCGCGAGCAACTTGCTCAGGAAAATAAACGACGTCAACAGTACATATTACGCAGCTCTAGAGCTAATAGGGAAATGGCGCATTTACGGCATGCTTTAGGAGATTCGCTTAGACATGTTTCGCAAGATCCTCTAGATCCAGCTTTATTAGAAAATGAAACAAGAAGGTAATATAGTCAAATCTTTTAACTTAAAAATAATAATGTTCACAATTTTTGCAGGTTGGATTGCGCAGTTTCAATGAGTTTACCACCATCATCTTGTCACGATTACGATCATTGTACAAGCCCAAGAAAATAAATATTAAAAACTAGGAAAACATGAATCAAAAGAAGAATTGAGTACACATGATAAATGAGCAATTTATTGAAGCTCAAGTTCAAACTGTTTTTGATTAGATATTTAGAGCAATTTATTAGTTTTTAATCCGAAAAATTGCATTTAATTAAGTTTAAAAAAATCACTCACTGCCATTTTTTGTAAAATAAAAACGAAAGGAAAAGAATAATTTTTAAAGTTGTTGAACTTCCATTTTACGTATTTTAAAAACGAATACCTACTAATGTAACTACAAATTTAAAATCTAAGAAATTTTAAATGTGGAATGCTCGTAAACCTGAATTACGTTATGCATGTTCATGACTATTCATATTACACACTTTCATTTCCATTTTTGTTTTAGATTTCTGTATCGACAATTGAAAGAAAAATCTTTTTTGATTTGCAATATCTTTTATTAAAGACATTGTCAAACAATTCATATACAATTAATTATATATAGCTTGAAATCACACAAACAAATAACATTTGAAAGAATTTTATAAAATATCGAAAATTTGCTAGTCATTTTTAAGGTTGAATCGTTGAATTACTAAAACAATTTGTATTTATTTAGCTGTATCTGTTCTTGGAATTAGAGAACTCGATCAACAGCAAAAGTAAATTAATTTTATTTTTATGTTTTAAATTTTAAAAATAATAAATTAATTAAAATATACATAATTTTTATCAAATACATACATACATATTTATCTAAATAATTTAGTTTTTGTCAACAAAACGATAAAAAATCAAATGAATAAAAATAACTATTAATCCACCTTTACATGTTGTTTTATTAGCGCAGTTGATTCAGCTATGCATATGTTGACTTAATAACATTGTACTTTCCATATCAGGAGTGCATTGATACATACCAGTGTGTAGTTCTTCATTTGTAACGAAAAAAATCTTAGTATAGAAAATATTTAGTAATGGTTGAATAGTTTGAACAGGGCCGCCATAAATTGAATTTCAAAGTACAGGAAAACTAAAATCATGATATCATAGACAACAAGATGGTAAATTTTCTTTGTTAAGTTAAATAGTAATTCTCAATAATATAAGTTATTCACAACATTAAAATAAATAAATATTTGTTAAAATATTGGAATAACGTAAAAATTTTTCGAATCATAAAAACCGAAAAATAAATTCGATCAAAAAAATTTTTGAAAAAGTTTTTCACTGCACTTTTAGAATAAAAGAAAAAACTTAAAAGTTAAAGAAGTCGAGTCTGTCAGTCGGATCTACGGTCGGAAAGAATGTAAAACTTTTAAAAAGAGTTTTATTAGAAGATCCTTTTTCATTTATTAAATGAAAAAGATCTTCAAATAAAAATATTAGTATCCAGGAACTGCACTAATTTTCTATTACTATAATATAATAGAATATTAAAAATAATAATATTTTACCCACTTCCTATTCGAAAAAAAATATACTCGTTTGGGGTACACTTTTGATCGAAAATCCCGTTTGAAAACGGGAAGTTCTCAAGAAATCTTTTAAATCTCAAGAAATATTTTAAATCTCAAGAAATATTTTTTAGTTTACTTTAGAATAGTTTATCTAGTCTTATCAATATCTAGTTTACTTTAGAATTTATCAATCTCACATTTTGTTATGTAAATTGTATATCTGAGGATTTTCTAGTTTTGATTTATCGGACATGCTTTATATCGTTATGATCTACATAAATTCGAACTAACTTTTCAAAAATATTTTGTCTTAAGAACGTTGGCTGAACTCTTAATTCAAGATATGGGAAAATGAGCAAAATAAATATATACGTACGGGTTAAATTCATATTTGCACAAATACTAGGTGACGTGTTGTCACAATACAAATTATTAAATGGCTGTTTTATTTTATTTTTATAATACAAGTTATTAATCTCTTAATTTTGTTAATTTTCCAATTTTTTTCTTTCAACTAAAAGTTTAGTATTATGATTAGTACCTTTTTGTACAAAATGGTTATCTTTTTCAAATACAATAAAATAGAATAATAATCAAACTATTTAATTGACTAATTAAATAGTTTTACTTATACCCATAATCAATAATTATGGTTAAAGTAGTGAATTATGGATATGCATGTACATCCTATATTTTATTGACGTTCTATTATGTTAATTTTTGTAGTTCTATTTTTTATTGTGAAAACAGTGTCAGGTGTGGTTTGTCTGAGCAGGGATGAGTGCCTATTTACTGAGAGACTTAATTTTTTCTGACAATCGTATACCGTGGCCATTTAGATGTGCTACTTAATGAAAACTTGGACTAACATATAAAAAGCATCTTTTGCCATTCAAAAAGCAGTTTACAAATAAAAATTTTATGAAAACTGGATTTTCATTCAAACAAAATGCGCCCTGTTTATAATAAATTGAGTTCAAAGTTATGCTATTTTTATGTGGAAAATTATGTAAAATAAATAAAATAAAACGAAATATTGCGGTTTTATATTCAATTGAAAAAGAATAGTCTTTATTTTAGTAAATGTAAGACTGCAAAATTTTGAATTATTCCGGCTTAAATCAAAATAAAATTCTTATCTTTTCATAAAATTGGTATAAATCGAAAAGTTGTTGCAACTGATTTGATATATTGTTACGTGATTTGGGATAAAATATAGAGAAATATTTTGTGCTTCAACTACATGCCTATTTAAAAAATTAACAATTTTGAGATGTTGCGGTATTATGCTCAAGGTGCGATATGTAAGTGCGAAATGTAATGTTAATATAAATGTTTAAAAAAATAAAAATGGTTAAAAAAATTGTGCGTTGGCCGGGAATCGAACCCGGATCAACTGCTTGGAAGGCAACTATGCTAACCATTACACCACCAACGCCTTAAATTCATTTATGCTATTTTAATATTTCAATTTTCAATTAGCCCAATTCATTTTCAACAGATTTTCTTTTTGTTTTTTATATGTATTTATAATTAATAAAACTATAAAATAATGTAAAAAACAAAATATAAATAACGTTCCCTCGTTAATTTTAACTAAATAGAAATTTCTACTTTTAACAAAAAAATTAATTGGGATAAAAATACACAATTACTTTTTCCATTTTCTTAAGCAACGACAACATTAAGTCTTAAAAAGCTTTTATTTATAACAATTAACATTTAATAATATTAATAATCACATTTAATTTAATAGAAGTATAATTTTGAAGTTAAATAAATTGTTCTGACGAAGTTTTTTGATTGTTATTAATTACGTATTTTTGGAATTATTTCAGACTCGTTATTTGACTAAATTATTGTACATAAATGCAGTTGTAGCTTTTAATGTTTTGTTTAATATTATTGATTTCGATTGATACTATGTATTTTGTATTATAGTAGTTAAAAGATAAGTATGTATTAAATTAGGAATTTCAGTAAATAAAATTACTAGTGTTGGCATAGTAAACAGTTAAAGATTTATAGACTTCTTTAAATTACTATTTACCTTAACTACAAAGTTATTAAAAATATAAAGTAAAAAGTTTTTACTTTTTTTAAAAAACTATTTTAAATTATTTTTATTGCATAAAAATTTTTTTTGATTTTGAATCTTATTTATATATATCTATTTACTTCAATAAAACTCATTTATTTTGTTTTAATAACTCTTCCAACTTTTTCATAACCAAATTCATGTTAGCTTTTTGATTTGTGACCTTTGAAATATGACCAGCGATTGCAAAAATAGCTTTTGCTTTTCCATTTTTAAATTGTTCTACAGCTTTTTTGTTGGCACCAATTGCGTCTACACATATTTTTTCAATTTCTTTTGCATCCGAAATTTGTTGCAAGTCTTTGTTCTTAATTATCTAAAATTAACATTTTATTTAATATAAATAATTAACAAAATTAATTGACTATTTCGTTACATTCATAACATCTTGATTCGGATCTTCATTTAAATCGTCTAAAATAATTTTCACAGTTGTGAGATTTATAAAACCATTGTGCAGCAATGCCAAGATATTTGATAACTGACCTACTTTTATTTTACATATTTCAATGTTAATGTTAATTTTGTTGCATGCTGCCATTAACTCGTTTATCAAAAAATTTGCAATGATTTTTGGAGGTACACTTTTTTGCATTTTTATAATATCATTAAAGTAATTTAAAAGGAAAGGCTCATTCTAAAAACAAATAATTGTTTATAGTTATTGCAAAACTGAATTGATTAAATAACTTACTACCAAAATTATTGCTATTTCTTTCGATAAACCTATTTCGTTAACTAATATTTCCCTCGTTTTGCTTGGTAATTCAGGAATAGTTGTTTTCAATTTATTGTATTTCAATATACCTCTATCAATATCATCTTCCTCCATATCGATATGTAATGGTGGCAAATTTGGTTCAGGCATGAATCTATAATCTTGTTGAACTTCTTTATCACGCATCGTTATCGTTTTTCTTGTCAAAGCATTCCAAGACCTTGTTTCATTAATTATTTCACCACCATTTGTCTTAACACATTTCTGTCTTTCGATTTCATATGCAATAGCTTGTGCTACATTTCGTACGGAGCCTATATTTTTTATCTCTGTACGAACACCAAGCGGCTCACCTGCTCGATGTATAGAAATGTTTGCATCAACACGCAGTGCGCCCTCTATAAAAATATTTTGAAATATTATTTTAATAAATTCAAAATAAGTTACAATAAATTCAATTAATTCATTTATGAGTTTGTATGAACATTTGTTTTAGTACTTTTGTAATTAAAACTGTTTCATTTAAAAAACATACATACATGCATTAAACCTACATGCTTTAATCATTTAAAATAACAGAATTGCAGTTGTCATCTTGAATAAAATGTATGTGCTATTAACATGTTTTTTTCGAGTATATGCTGTTAAATCCTTATTATTATGTTGCAATACAACAAGGCAAGTATATAAAATTTAAATTTGACATTTTAAATAATATATCTCAATAGCCGTGATCGTCTAGTGGTTAGGACCCTACGTTGTGGCCGTAGTAACCCAGGTTCGAATCCTGGTCACGGCAATGTGAAAACATTGTCACGGAGAGAGAATTTTTTTTTAAATTATTACAAAAACAAATAATTCATACACCGTTAGTTCAAAAACGTAATAAATACAACACTGTTACACAATACAGTGCTGTATTGTATATTTAAATTCTTGCAATTTTATAATCAGAAATTATTATCTATCAAACAATATTATAAAAAACATAAAAGAATACTTTCAAACAATAATGTAACATATCTAAGGTTTTCTGTCAGAACACACTATATCTACATTTTTGACAAAATAAAATATTATGAATGCAGTATTACTTAAAATTTTAAGCGCTTTCTAATGCAAGAAGAAAAATTTTTCCAGTAGTTTAAAAAAATCCTTGAAGAACGTTATAACTAACAAATTTTTTCAAAAATTTTTTTGACAGAATTAGATATCAACAGTTATTTTCTCGGGGTTATAAAATTTTCTAAGGCATTGAAGTACAGATACTTCACGTTATTCTAAGTTTTTTACTGTTTTATTTCAAGTTGAAAATAAAATTTCTGCACATATTCTACACTTTATATTTACATGTTCATGTTGGTTATTTCCCTATAAGTGAAACACATATTTAAAAACTAGATGAGTGGACATATTCAGTTCTGATTGAACACTGATCGCAAGTAAAAAAAATATATTATCTTATTTGGTATAGAAAAGTATATTACAATTTTAATACTATGCAATATTTAGTAGCAATATTTTAAAATACTAATAGTTTTTAGTCACATTTTGAATGCTCATATAATATTTTATATTTTCTCAAGTTCTATAAATTTGTAGTGAACTTGGGATTGTTAAAGAGAAATTAAATAACTTTTTGTCAAACGAAATACTGCAGTGTTAATGATCTAAGAAAAAGATAAAATACTAAAAACTGGTAAATTCAACAATTTCTAAAAAAAAGGAATTTCCATTTGAGAAATAACATTCCGATATTTTGAAAATCAGTAAACAGTAAGATATGTAATTTTAACATACATTCCAATTTTGTATCTCTGCCAAATATCATTCTGTTGTATATGTATGTATATACAACATTCTGATATCGCAGTGTTTAACTAAAAATGCATGGAATTAAAATTAAAAAAAAATGGCCTCCCCGGCGGGGAATCGAACCCCGGTCTCCCGCGTGACAGGCGGGGATACTGACCACTATACTACCGAGGACATATAAATATTTTTAATCCAAATTATTTAAGAATTGTTGCATATTTTTGCAACATTACATTTTATTCCTACAGGCTACAATACCATACCTTCCATTCGACAATTACAACTGCCAAGCCTTTTTAAAGTAATTATTAGCTCTTTAACTAATGAAGCAGCTTCCTCACCATCTGATAAATCTGGCTCGAAAACCAATTCCATTAACGGGATACCTGCTCTATTCAAGTCAACTAAACTCCTAATGAAATGCAAATAAGTACGTACCGCAAAATGTACATTTTTGGCTCATTAAGATAGGTACCTCTTGGCTTCGGTATCATGCAACGACTTTCCACTGTCTTGTTCCAATTGTAATTGAAACAGGCGAACAGTTTTTTCATAAGGTTTTTTTACTACACCCGGTACATAAACTGGAAATGTGATTTTTCCGTGATTGGCTATTGCTTTCCTTTGCTGAGTTATTTGATATCCGGCCTAAAAATATCAAAAATATTTTGTATTCCACTTTCACAGATACTATGAATATATTACAGGCAAGTCGGCATAAAAATAATGTTTCCTATCAAACATTGATATATTATTTATTTTACAGTTTAATGCAATCGCTGTCCTTAAAGCAGATTCCACGCAATATTTGTTCAACACCTAATATAACAATTTTTCATATTAGCAAAAATTAGAGATGCAGATACATACATAATTAAATATACAAAAAAATAGAATTTTTCTTACCGGTAATGTTCCTGGAATTGCCGAATCAAAAAGCGAGACATTTTGATTGACCGATGCTGCAAACTTGTTTTCACTACCAGAAAACAGTTTTGTATTTGATGATATTTGGGCATGTACCTCTAACCCAACAACGCTTATCCAGTCATCTTTTCTAATATTAAAAATATTAATTTTTTAAATTCTTTTCTTGCTAATTTTTATTTAACAAACTTTTTGTTTTTGGATACCGATGTAAGTCTTCGTATTGTATTCATTTGCGCTTTATTTACTTGAAAATATGACTTAATGCATTGATTTAACATTTTTTTTTCTAAACTACACAAATATCAATACGAATTTCATGAAAATTAAGTAAGAATCTTCAGTAAAATGTTTACCTAAAACAATTAATAAATACAAAATGAATTAAACTAAAATTTTGCATTTGCAACACTTTTCAAAAACTTTAAAGTCCATTCGACAATTCATCACCTTGTTTTCTATATCAACTTGGTTATAAAATTTTTTTAAATGTTTATTTTTTAATATTTTTGACAGCTTTATTTTGAAATAACCAATCGATAATCTTTCATTCTTTTAATTTAAAGCAGGGTTGCGATATGTAAGGGTTTTTACCTTATTCCTGATATTATTGGAATTTGAACGAAAAACAATTGAAAAAGGATTTTAACAAACAGTTAATTGAATTAAGTTCACCGTTTACACAACTAAAATCGACCAGATACCGAACTTTTAGACATTAAAAACTACAAAACAAAATTTTGAGGACTCCACATGATCTATTTTATTTGCAAATGTTAATGACATTTCTCTAACGTAATAACATTTTGTATGGAAATAATTTTAATTGCCAATTTTACTACGTTAAATCATGGTTTTTAATTTTATGATTTTTCACATGCCGTTTTATTTTCACTACCGGATTTTATTGATTGTTTTTGACGTTTCGAAAATGTGAGAAAATTTGGAAATTGTTTGCATGAAAATCTAGAAAACATTGTATTTTGCGGGAATTTCAGAAATCTAAATATCGCAACAGCGCTTACAAGTTACAATTACAATTTATAAATAAAACATTTAAGCCATCGACTGTCGTATGGATTACAATACGGTCTTTTTGTGTTGAAAAACTATATTTGTAACATGAATTTTTCGCCAATGGTTGACGTATATTTTATTCCCAGAGCATGTTGGCCTATTAGGTCAAGACTGGCACTTGGCAGCACGAAAAATATTTCCAGGCTACAACCGTTTTGAGAAACTAAAGTCAGCATTTTAAAAGTGAAATATTTGGAGTATAAACAGGAAATGATGAATTAAACACTGCAGATTTTACGTATGTAATATGTACATAGGAACAAAGCATTACTCAAATTATAAAGGCTTTAAAAAGAATACCTCAAATGGACTGGTATCCAAATAGCGTTGTTTTATTGAAAAACTGAATTCAAAATACCAATACCTAAAATAAGAAAACAAGAAATAATGATTTATTTAAATATTGTACATTTAGTTCTATGGATCAAATTTTTTTTGCCAACCGCATTACGCACACCACCGTCAGTTTCTTGACAACTATATAATAAATTATGATTTGCTAGATAGTTTTGGCGTTGGAAAATGTGACGTCACCTCATTAAATATTTTTTTTTACGAACACATATTTGCTTTTACGTTTCTATAAAAATACATCTATGTATTCAAATTTCTTATTCTAAAACAGTCTACATTTCAAGAATAGCAATTTCAAATTTTTTGTTATTTCATATTAATATCAATTATTTTTATTTATTTCATTAAATATACGATACACATACATTCTAATTGCTGTTGAGATATCAAACTGAAAATGTCTGAAAAATTTAATAATTTAAACTTCAAAATTTAATAATTTTATAAAATAAAAATCAGCTGATTACTGTTCCAAACTTCCAAAGAAAATTTCTCCATTCTTCAAAACTTTAAATTTAACAAACCTCCAATTATAATCAAATACATTTTTTCAAAAAATATATGTTCATGTGAAAAATTTATTGCTTTAAAATAAATTTAAGCGTTTTAAAAAACAAATTAATTTTTATTAAATAATTTCGTTTTAAGATCAAAAAAAAATTTTAGCAGAACCTGCATTCAAGCCTGGAAAATTATTTATAACTATTAATATACGGATATTCTATATTATTAATTATTTGTAGTTAAAATGCTCATCGCAAATAAAAGTGTGGCGCTGAATACCGGAATTTTTGGCAGTTTTACAAGCTATCTCCCTCTGTAAATTGTCGCCATTTAAAATTGAGTGTTTCACCGCGCTCCAAATAAACAAAAAATACTTTGAATTTACAAGAAATTTTTCATTAAATTTACCAAAAGTGATTAATTAAAGTATTATATTAACTTAGGAAATAAAATATTTTAAATTAGTTACATGTGTTAAATAGAAATTTAATATTTCCAGCCACGTCATGTTGGCAAGAAATTAAATGTAGAGACGCCTTTGTGCCCCTTTTCTCTTTGCACCTTTGGGCAAAAAAAAAAAAAAGAAAAAAAAGAAAAAAAGTTGGAAAAAGACGGAAATATCAAAAATATGCATAGTGCTTGTTCATCAGATGAAAAAGCGTTTGTTTGAGTATGATTTTCCGTCTGTTTCTTTTTCTTGCAACAAAAAAAAAAGTTTAAGCTAGAATTGCAATAGTTTTATTTTAATGAAATTTTGTAGAATTGAGCAATTGTTATATGTATTATTTTTAATTTTCATTTAAGCGAATGGAATAAAAAAAAAGTATTTTATGATAAAGCTAAAGACGGAAAAATTAGATAAAAAAAAATTTCTTTTTGAGAAAGTTTTTAATGAAGTAATCGGCAAAGTAGCAAAAATGCAAGTAATAAAAAGTCAAGACTGAATATGTATAAAAAAAAAATTACATACTGCCTTCAAATGAATAGTGTGATAATTACGTAGGGGTTAGCTATTTTAAATAAATTTGTGATACTTATTCGTTTTTTTAATCTTTAAATATATTTAACGTGTTTAAAAATTAAAATAAAATTTTCTAAATGCTCTTACTAACTATATTTCTATTTGATACATATTGTACAAACGTGAATACAAATATTGTATAATTGTACGTTGTGTAAAAGCGTTGCTTTCTAAAAAAAAAAAAAGAAAAATGATTCCCAATTTTTATTACTAAAAAAAAATTATGTTTCAGATCGGTTTGCGAGAGGTTTTTAAAATAATTATAGATTTTGCAATTTGTTATGTTGGTAATCTGATTAAAAAAACAATTTTTTAATTTTAATTAAAAAGTTAATGTCTGAATTTACTTAAATATCATTGTAAGTTTGTTTTGCACAAAAACTTTTATCCAACTGTATTTGGTAATTAATTATGATTAATTAATATTTTATGCATATACAATGTGACAAATAGTTTTTCTTGTATTAATGTTACTTATTAATTTCATTCTAGAAAAAAATATGTGACTCGTTTCAACAATCGGAAAATTAAACTTAAAAATAATATAAAACATATATTAATACTCTAAATGAATATTTTGGTGCAAATGTTCACTAGTACTAACTATAATAATATAATTTCCTATTATCAACTTTTGTATATTAAAAAGAAAACAGGTTTTTGTAGTACTCCAGCGTTAATTTTTTAGTTTTGAGTTTTATATAAAAGTCAGAAAATTAAGGCTTTTAGTAGATAATTTTTTAACATGTAAAATTAAGTATTTCTAAATCGAAATAAATTTCTTAAAAATTTTAATAAAAAAGTCTTATTTTACTGAATCCTTCTTGTATTTTACCTATTTTCATTTTATATTAATGATTTTTTTTTCTTTGCAGTGATTTGGTGCTCTACAGAAGAAGAATCGTCCAATAATTAATAGATATCCAAATTAATTACCCTTCTTATACGTTACAAATATATACATATAGTTATCTATACATATATATCCAATATAATATATTTATATATATATATATATATTAATATATTTATATGTATATATATATATTTAAATTTATTATAAATATAAAACAAAGATTGTGTGTTGGAAATTTGTGCTGTGCTGTATTTTGAGAAGACAGAAGAAGAAATAATTCTTTCAAAATTGCAACAAAGGGGCGATAGTCAAGCAAGATATTTTTCTTTAGTTCGGTTTTTTTTATTTGTGAGTATTCTGTATTTAGGTAAGGCCATATGGTCTTTTTGTCATAAAGTTTATGGATTTTGTTGTTTATTTTTGAAATTCAAAACAACAAAAAATTAAAACAAAATAATACAAAAGTACTAAACAAAACAAGTGAATTATAGGAATAATAAATAAGGAGCAAATTTTTTTACAAATTACAAAAAAAAAAAATAAAAACAAAACGGAAAAGAAAATATCACAAGATCGTCATAAACATAATATATTTTTGTACGTTGTTGGTTTATGTTTAATAACATTTAAAATTATATAATATCTACTTACATTTAATAAAAAAAGAAAAAGAAACAAAACGATTCACGAAATTTATAATTTAAAAAAGAGACAAACAAAAATGGATGAGACACAACCGAAAACACTTTACGTTGGTAATTTAGACCATTCAGTTTCAGAAGATTTACTAATTGCACTATTTAGCCAAATGGGCACTGTTAAAAGCTGTAAAATAATAAGAGAGCCTGGTAATGACCCATATGCGTTTATTGAATATATAACTCATCAATCTGCTGCCACTGCACTGATAGCAATGAATAAACGACTCTTCCTTGAAAAAGAAATTAAGGTAAATTTTTATTCAATAGTAAACTGTTTAACTACTTTATAAAAAAACTATTATTTGAAATTTCCAGCTTACTTATTTTTGAACATTAAATATTAAGTAGCTATATAAGTTAGAAAGATAGGAACAACAATATGCTTTGAAATAAAAAAAATGCTTTTAATATTAATTCATACTTATTTACTTGTACATACATATTAGGTTTTAATTTTGCTCTATTTTTTTTTGTATTCATACACAGATTAAATGTTACGACTTTTCATTTTTTTTATTTATGCTTATTTGTTCTAATTTTTAAGGTTAATTGGGCAACAAGTCCAGGCAATCAGCCAAAGACAGATACTAGTGCTCATCATCATATATTTGTTGGTGATTTAAGTCCGGAAATAGAAACAGAACAACTAAGAGAAGCTTTTGCTCCTTTTGGTGAAATATCAAATTGCAGGATTGTTAGAGATTCACAAACAATGAAATCAAAAGGTTATGCGTTTGTGTCATTTGTTAAAAAAGCTGAAGCTGAAAATGCCATACAAGCAATGAATGGTCAATGGTTAGGATCACGTTCAATTCGAACGAATTGGTCAACTAGAAAACCACCTCTAACTCGTGAATATAGTAAAAGTGGTGGTGGCAGTAATATTGGAAATAGCGGTATGGGTGGGGGTGGTAGCATTAAAATGAATCGAGCAACGTATGAAGATGTTTACAATCAAAGTAGCCCCACAAATACAACAGTTTATTGTGGTGGTTTTCCAGCAAATGTGATTAGTGATGAATTAATGCAAAAACACTTTTTGCAATTTGGTCCAATCCAAGATATTAGAGTTTTCAAAGATAAAGGTTTCGCCTTTATAAAATTTTTAACTAAAGAACCAGCTGCACATGCAATAGAACAAACACATAATACAGAAATCAATGGTATTCCAGTTAAATGTTTTTGGGGGAAAGAAAATAACGGTGACAATTCTATGAATAATCAAGCCGTCGTTGGTGTTAATTTAGCTGGCGTAGCTGGTGGTGTTGGTTTAGGACATGGTGGTGTTCCTACGCCTCAATCGATAGCTGTGACAGGTATTTATATTTTATTTAACATTTTGTCCTTGTAAAATTTTTTTAGTGATTATGAATACTTTAACAAAAAGGTAATTTGGCAGGAGGACAAGTAATATCACCACAAGGTGCAGCTCAATATCCATATGCTGCTTCTGCAGCAGCGTATCAACAAATGGCCTATTGGTATGCTCCAGCGGTTAGTATTTTAACAATTTTTGCATTATTTAAAATTTAACAATATTATTTAAATTTTAGGGCTATCCTGCAGCCCAAATGCAAACTCAGTATATGCAACAAGGTTATTATCCATATGCTGCCTACACTAGCGCGCAACAAGGAGCAGGAGGTATACAATTTTTTTTTGCTAAAATTTTTGAGAAATTCTATACTTTCAAAACATTAAAACTTTCGCAATTTTCATTCATATTTTCGTCACGTTTTTCATCAACACAATATATGCACGAATAGATTAAAAGTTTCAATTAAATATAACTTAAAAAAAACAGAAAACATTTTGTAGTAACTCATTTTACGTTTATTAGTTTAAATTAAATTAAACTAAGTAACGCAGATTTACAAAAAAAAAAAACAATCAAAAATTTTCAGTTGCTAGGAATCGAAACTGGAAATTGTCTTGGCACAAATAATTTGGGATTTTAAATTTATTAATTTAAATAGATAAAAAATTTTTGTACCATAAAATTATTTAAATTTTTCCGGATGCATAAACGTTAATTAAATTGAGAAACTTTTTCAAATACTATTCAAAAATTTTAATGTGAATTTCACTTCAATTTTTTAATAAAATTTTGTGTTCATGATTTACAATTAATTTACATTACGTACATATACGTAAAGAATAGTTTATAGTAAAGAAAGTTTACAAAGACCTTCGGGGCTCTTACTTGCTCAATAACTTTTCAAAATGATGATAATTAAGTAAAAAATAACTACTTTAGATATATTTTTCTAGACCGAATTAATTAAGTATAAAAATTGTTTATCACAGTGCTCTCGTGGATCATTGGATGAAGCAATACATACATACATATACACTTTTTTTTAATTGATATTTTATTTTTTTATAAAATTATTTTATAGCTAAGTCTGTTCTAAACAATTGGCCTGAACACATTAAGTGTCCACTTTTCTTTAGACTTCAAACAAATTTCTTACTTTCTTATGATTATAATGTGCTTATAATATGCATTTAAAATATTTGAATTTTTATGTTCTGTATTCTTATTATTTTTCTTTTATTTCACTATTTTCGCACAAAATATCTGCCAAACATTTTTTCGTTTTCTTTTTTTTTTTCATTCTTGTTTTTCAACCACATAGTGATGAATTCGAAATTCATTCCAGCTGGTTATCGTATGGTCCAGCCAAATGTAGCATGGGGTGTTCCTGGAGCAGCTGTACCAACCGCTGCAACGAACGGTGTTACACAGCCTCAGATGATGTATAGTGCTGCAATGCCACAATATCAAACGCAATAATGAGGTTGACGTTAAAAATAAATAAAATAAACATTGAAAGCACTAAATTATTATTAAAAATTTGATTTAAAAAAAAATTTTCAGAAAAAAATATAAAAAAAAAAAGAAATGAGAAGAAATGCTATATAGAGAGAAGAAGATCAACACATCAATTGTTGTTAATTTTTTAATTTATATAAAAAAAAAGATATAATTTAAATTAATTTGAAATACATAAAAAAATGAAAATTTAAAAAATCGAATAGAAAAAAAAAATAAAGGAAAAAATGTTGTAAAATCCAACAGAAATATTTTGAAACGAAAGATTTTCATAGAAAATTTTTTATCCTTAACAAATGATTTTTTTCTGTATGACAAAACAATATTGTAACAAATATTGAAATAAAAGACTTCTTCAAAAAAAAAAAAAAAAAAAAACTAAAAGAAAAGAAAAAAATTAATAAAAACAAAAATAGAAATAATAAATTGTAATTAATTTAAAAAATCTATTATAAAAAAATAAAAAAAAATTTGAAGAATGCCAGAAGGATTAAAAGAAAATATATTGCATTTTTCTTGTACAAAATTCTTACCCACATTTAGCCCGTGACCACTTAACCCAGGACTTTAAAATTGGAAGTGTGCAACTTAAAAATTGTAAATTTTTTATAATTTAATTGTTTTCTCTGTAAAATGGAATAACAATTTAGTCTCGCTTAAAAATATTTTGAAAAATTTTTTAGGATAATTGATAAAAAAATAATATGAGGAATAAGAAACATTATGAAAGTGTTATTTTACGTTGTATACTTTTGCCTTATATGAATTATACCAAAGTAACTTCAAGGCAATGTATTGAATATTGAAATAACTTCTTGATGATTAGTTTTTTCGAGTCACATATATCAAACAACTCATAACTAGGAAATGTTTTTAAATATGTACAGTATGTATGTTAGGAAATGTAATCAGTTCTGACTTAAGTATCCAAATATAAATTTAGACAGTTTTATAATTATTAGACATTGCCCAATCTGTTAGAAAAGATTGTTTGAAAATGTAAAAGTCCGTTTAAAATCTACCAAAATTTAAGTATCGTAATTGTGTGAAAAATATATATATAATTCAACTTTCATTAGGTTTTTTTGATAAAGGTGTTCATATTTGAATAATAAAAAAAGAATTCTTAAAATAAGTAAATTACGAAATTGTACTACCGAGGCAACTTATAAATCTAAAAACTGCTTCAAATTTTTTTGAAAATTTTTCAAATGATTTATTTTAATTGTTGCTGTTCTATTCATTTTTGCACCAAATGTGTCAAAAGATTCAATGAATTCTTAGTCAATATGGATACATAAGTATGTGCATATATAAACACATACGTCTATCTAGTAACGACTCTAATACGCATAAATGTATGTCCATACATTCAAAATTAAAACATTTTCCCGTTTATAAGACTACTACTGAGAATAGAGTAGTCAAACATATACTCTTATCTAGTGTTAAATTATTAGTAAAAATGAATTTTCAATACGGTATATAGGTAACATATATGTATGTATGAATATACATATACTCATATGTACATAGGTTAATATTTTTTGCGTTTACAGTTACTATATGTACTATATGTATGTACATCCTTCTTACATACATGTGTATGTGTGCAGATCTTCCATAATGCGTTCAATAAATTCAAACCATAAAAATTGCAAAAATAGACATTTTGTAAGTACAGTATGTATGTATAAATATGTATAATGTTATAAAAGATTATTATCTTACATAATTTGTGTATTGTATTTTTAAAGTGTTACTTTTATTTTTTTCCGAAAATAAACTAATGATGTCGCTTTAAAGAGCTTTCAAAACTCTTTCACTTCAATAGAAACAAGATGAGTTAAGTCCTAATATTTTATAAAATACTGAGATATAACTCGTCTCAAAACAAAACACTTCCAAATTTTATTTCATTTGATCGTTATTGGAAATGAGCAAGATCGGTGGCCCGGTTAAACATAAATGTTTATACTTACAAGTTTTGTTGAATGTTGTAAACAAAGAAGTACTCGACATTTCCAAATTTAAAACTTTAACCAAAATTTAGAACAAAGCAGAAAACTTTTTGATAACTGTACTACAAATATTTCAATTAGATAATCATAATTTTGGCATAAAATTAAAAATTTTCGAAATTTTAGGAACGAATATATGTAATTATGTAATACAAAAATTACACTAATTTATTGACCAACAAATTTAATCAATTTATTTATCTAAAAATTAAAAACTGAACTATGTTTGAAAAATTATTACATATTTGTAGTTTAAATGTTTTTAGTGACATCGAAAATTGCAGATAAATGAAAGTGAATTTTAATTTAATGCATGTACATAATATGTAGGTATTTAAAAAATTGTAATAATTGATACAAAAATTCTAAATTGCATTTCTACTACTTCTTCCTGAAATAAGATTATATACGTACATATATACATATATAAATTTATACTCGTATACACATATCATGATATTTCAATGATAAAATGTGAGACTTTTAGACTAACTATGAATGCCTGCTGAATTTTGATTCCTTTATATAGTAGAAAAAAAGTCCGTTATTGTTTGCAATTATGAAAGCCTGCCGGGCCAAATTTAATCTTTTCAGTGGTGACTAAAAACCAAACTCAATCTTTTGATAGACTTTGGCCAAGGAATAGCAATTTTTTTATTATGAAATTTAAAAAAAAAGTATTTCATTTCAAACTGTGTCAATACATACTTTTAAAATGAATTCCGTTAGATCCAGCAGACTTTCATTAGATATGTGAATTTTTTGAAGAACAAAAAAATCCAAATTCAGAAGGCATTCGTATTTTTGATTTTTGAAGGCATTCAAAGTAAAATTTATAGAAAGTGGTTGAACAAATTATTCGCTATATTCGCTATTTCCTAAGGTAAATAAAATTAACTAATAAAAATTAGAATAAATGTGTAATGAATGATATGTAAAGAAAAATGTGTTAATAATGCATGAAACTTGGTTTTGGGAGCACTTTGTAATTGTGTTTTAAGTTTTTAAAATAAAGAACAAACTAATTTTTGAATATTTTTATCAATTCTTTAATGATCAGCTAAATGATTAAAATGTAGTTTCATATATATATATATATATATATATATATATATTTAATTTTTTTTTATGTATATAATTTATTTGACTGGACATTTTTTATTTCTAATTCTAAATTTTTACTTTTAATAATTTATTGTATTTATTTTATTTATATGTATATTATGTGTATAATAATTATTATATTTTTGCAGTAAAAAATTAACTTTAATTTTTGTAATAATTTTTAAATGTGTACATATTTAAATTCTTTCAAATTTAAATTTTTCTTTTATTTCTCCATTTTTGTTAGAATTTAAATATTATAATTTATTCAAGTTTTTTAAAGAAAATTTTATAAAGTTATACCATATAATATGCAGTTAATTTTTATACAATTAAGAAAGTATACAATAACTATTTTTATTCTATTATTATCATGAAAATTATGATATTCTAAGTAAAAGAAAAAAAGGAAATAATTATTATGGTACTAAATGACAAAAAATGCTTAAAATATTTACTATAATATTGTTGTAATGAATTTATTTTCAAATAAAATAAAACATTTTTTTACGAGCGAGTTCTCTAAGTATAATATTGTATAGACTATTATTATTATGTACATTAATTTCTACAATTTCTAAATAATTTAAAATAGTTTAATGGTAAATAAAATTTGTTTCTATTAATCGCAAATATAAATAAAACAGTATTTTTTTTTAAAAATTTATATATTCCATGTCTGTCCCCTTGTATTTCTTTTGATTTTTTAGTTTTTATTTGGTTTACACGGGATTTATTTTTTATCAGTAATAAATTCTATAAAAAAAGTTTACAAAATCTTAAAAATTAAAAATTCAAATTCCTTATATATAATATAAATTTTTATATATCTTTTGTTTTAACAAGACAGCCATAGTCCTAATTGTTATTTAATGTAATTGCATATCTCATTTGTTACAATTCTTTAAATTTGCTTTAAGATTCGTATTAAGTTTTTTCATTTAAAAAAAAAATTATTTTTACAGTCTTTAAACTTGTAGATGATGTAAATTGTGCAAATCATTTACTCGCTTATTTTGCAAAATATAATTTATTGTAAATTTTAAGGTTGTATTGTACATTTGAAATTAATTCACTTCTAATGTGCTTTAACTATGTCAACTCCTCAATCAATTTTAATAGATACATGTTTTATAAATAGTTGTACAAAAAATTAAAACAAAATTAAATATGGTAAATTCTTAAACGTCAAATTTTACAAAATCTGAGTTGTCTGAGTTTACGAATACTCTACTGCGTTTTACTTTCAGTCAAAGTTTAAATTCTTAAACGTTTGAAAAAAGTCAATTAAGCGTCAAAATTGTAGATCTTTTTTTTTACATGCAGACAGTCTGACGTAGTAATTCAGTAAATAAATTTGATGTATTGAGTGACTATCATTACGTTAAAAATAATATAAAAATATTTTTTTTGTTAATTTTTAATATGTAAGTATAAAATTATTTTAAATCTACAAGAAATTTTTTTTTTGTTTGGACGTTTACAGATGAACAAAATTTAAAGTCAATTACAAGTAAAAAGTTTACTACATTTCTGTCCGTAAAAGTTTTATACATCAGACAGTTTGCAAACTGAAAACAAAATTTTGACGTTAAAGAATTTGCGGATACGTTCATTTAGCTTTGAACAACGCTGCAGTATTAAATTAAAGGCAAAATAAATTATATATTTGCACAATTCGAAATCTAAATTACATTGCCTTTAATTTTTAAGATTGTTGGTTTTTGTTTTTTTCGTAACTTTGGCTTTTGTAACTGCTAAAAGAATTAGTGTTTGATATAAGAAAAATATTTTTATTTTTGGTATAAGTTTCATCATTTTAAAATTGAATAAATATTTTAATAATTGATTTATCTAATTAAAAAAAAATCAATTTTTAAATTTTGTAGTACACAAATTTATATCTAACGGATTTCGTTTCGTTTACCACCAGAAACATTTTTTGTTTGTCAATTTCGAGAAACAATTTTAGTTATAATTTTAAATTTTTAGTTAAATAACTAAGAAAAATATTTATATAACGAGGAAAATGTACAATACCTTTAATATTTAATAATCAAAATGAAAATTTACCCGTTTACTGCAAATCATTATTGATACCTTTCAAACATTTTTACATTCATAAGTAGTTTTTAATTGTTTCTTTGATAGAAAAAACGTTGAATTAAATTAATTTTGGAAGTTCTTAAAAATATTTCAATCAATAGAATTTTAATATTAGCCGACTAGCTTTGAAAAATTAATACCTACTTAATTATATTCAAACAATACATTATAGGTATGATATACAAATATTATTGTTCAATTATTACAAAGGTAATTTATTTTAAATTATTATGTTTTAATCCCTGTAAATATTATTATACTATATTTGTGGCCAAAAACAGGGAAGGTTACTAGGGGTAACTTAATCGTTTCGTTTATGCTCTTTTAAGAATTCGTTTTCAATCTTCATATTTTAAATTTTTCTTTTTTTTCATATTATTGCATTACATGTACATATATATAATTTTGATAAAATTAAAACATTGTACTAATAGTGTATTAAAATGATAACAAGTATCTTAATTGAAAAACAATGTTTCATATAATAAAATGAATTTTTTTTGAATAATGTAATCATTAATATCTTTGAGGTTCAGAACAAACAAAATATAAAACAGTGTATAATGTAATAAAAAATGGTGATGTATACAATTCAAATCTTTTCATTAATTTATAACAAAAAAAAAATTAGTCGTGCATCGATTTTTTCATTGTCTATTGATATCCTTTAAATTAAATATCTAGCAGAGTTTTCTGAATAATTATTTCAAAATTTATAAAACATTTTAGAAACTTCTATAACAAACAGTATAATAATTTAAACTCGAACTTTGTTTGAAATATAATCGTACGAATTTGAATGAAGAAACTATCACGAATTTGTTTAATAAGAATAAAAGTTTAATAACTTTATCATAAATCATTAAAAAATTTATACAGTAATATCACCATATTCTTGCGCCCACTTTTCGTATGAATTTAAACTTTGTGGTGCTACAGACCTTCGTATTCTTTTTAAAGAATTGTGAAAATCTTTCTCAGCTATTTTACGCACAGCACTTATATCTACATTTTTAACTTGTTCTACATTCAGTTCACGTATTGGTTCTAAAGCAGCATCTTTAGCTAAAGCAGTTAAATCTGAACCTGAATATCCTTCAGTCAACACAGCCAACCTATGTAGAGCCTGCGTACTTAATGGGCTACCCTGTTTCTCTAATAAACGTTTTAATAATAGTTCTCTTGTTTGTAAATCAGGTAACTGAACGTATACTCTTTTCGAAAAGCGTCTTAGAGCTGCTTCGTCTAGTTCTTGTGGTCTGTTTGTTGCCGCAAGGACTACTATTCGATCTCCATCTGCGTTTCCTGGAATACCATCAAACTCAACTAGAAATTCAGTTTTTAAACGTCTTGAAGCTTCATGTTCACCAGTGCTACGTTCTGATAGTAAAGAATCAACTTCATCTATAAATATTATCGATGGTTGAAGCTCACGGGCCACAGCAAACAAAGCACGCACCAATTTTTCACCATCGCCAACATATTTACTGGTAAGTGATGCAGCTGATATATTAAAAAATGTTGCTGAACATTCTGTAGCGACAGCTCTAGCTAATAAGGTTTTTCCATTACCAGGTGGTCCAAAGAGTAATAAACCTTTAGCTGGTGTTCTTAGTCCTAAAATGTATATAATAAGTTTCTATAATTTTATTTTGAAATGCTAAATAATGTAACCCGTAAATAATTCTGGTCTAACAGATGGCAGTATAACCATTTCTTGAAGAGCTTGTTTGGCAATATCTTGTCCAGCAATATCTGACCATTCAACTTTGGCACCTCCTTCAATTATTTCATCCATAATAATTTGAACGAGTTTGGGTTCAACACCTTTTACTGAAATTATGTTACTTGAACTACCTGTTGAAGGTGTACCACCTATCGGTGTTCTAGATCGCGGTGGTGGTGTGTTTCGCCCTGAATTTTTTCTCATTGGAGAGCTATTATTATTGTTTGAATACTAAAATAAATAGAAAAATAACTTTATGTAATTTTATTTAATATCTCAATTTTATTAATTACTCCGAATTGTCTTCGAACTGCTGGCGGAGTAGCAGCAGTTTTCGTCGGTTGTCTTTGCGGAACGACACTATAATTTCCAGAACCTATTGCTGCTGGACCAGTAACAATTGCTTTTGACCCTAAATTCCTTGGTAACGTCGATGATTTGTTAATAACCCCTAAATTACCGGGCCTTTTGTTTGCTACATTTAATTTTCGACCAGAAGCTGGAATAAAATATATTTGATAGCAAACTACATTACCATTTCCATATTAAATATACAATGATTAATTTATTTTATAGAAATACTGATGTACAATTGAATTATACGGTTAGTAAAATTGCTTTTAAAACAAAATTATTTATCTGATTGCATAAAAAAGCTCTAAAGGCAACTTAATAATACGTAATATAATAATTATGATTTTAAAATAAACAAAATGTGAAAACATAAATTATTTTAGTAATAGTTATTTTTCGTTCAGAATACAATTAAATTTAAATAAAAACTGCAATGCCATTAAAACTTCAATATCTATAATGTAAAGAAAGTTAAATATTTTTTGTCATTGCAAATTTTATTTTTTAACAAATGCTTCTACGTGCCTGTTCTTATAAAATACAATTAATTTTTTTATTATTAGTTATGTTGGTTCTTTTGAATTTGTTTATTTTAAGTGATTTGTTATAAAAGTGTAGCAGCACTGGAGTTATTTTACCAATTATGTCTTACCTTCATTTGTAAAAGTTACTTTTCCTTTTGTAACACTATTTTGATTTCTATTTATAATTGTTGTAGATGCAATAGAAGATGTAGGACTTTTTGTAAGATTTAAATTTGTTATTTTTTTTGAAACCGGAGTTGTTGAGCTATTTAAGTACTGAGTTCTATTATTAGAACGAGTTGTATCGCTACTGCCAGCAGTAGAATTCTTATTTGTTGATGTATTGCCTATGTAAGTTGGATTTAAATATGAACCCAAAACTTGAAGAGTTTTTTGTGTGTTAGTTAAAAATGATGTTGATCTTCTTTTATTTTTTTCTTCTAATCTTAATTCTTCTAAATGTAGTTCTTCTTCTCTCAGTGCTGATTGTTGTTTATAATTTATACATATAGATTTATATTCATAGTATTTTAAATGTATAATTTATGAACAACAAAATACGAACAGCATTCAAAAAATGAAAAATAAAATAAAAAAAAAACGAAATAATGGTAAAACAGAAGATTTTTACGCCACAGGAATATTAAAAATATGTTTTAATTTGTAAATTAAAATAGAATGACAGAGAAATAAGCACTAAAAAAATTTAAACTTAAATTAATAAAGTGAAAAACATTTTATTTCAACATTTTTATAAAAAAAGAACTTAATTTTTAATAAGTAATTTCGATTAAAATTTGCTGTATTTTCGAGTTTTGACTATCCCATTTCGCTATTTTTTAAATCTATGTATTAATCTTTAACCTGAGCTCTCTAAATTTTTCAATTACAAAAGTATGGAAACTAATTTACGTGTATGTAAGTGTCACGTAATCATAATAAAAGTTATAAAATGCCTCAGCAGAATTCGATAAAATAAGTGTAGAGTAAAATACTTTAGATGCTTTCGCGAATATCGAGAACTTTTAATTTTAATGAGCGTCGAATATATTAAATTTCCATTTAAGATATTTGACACTCTAGACATGATATTTTTTTAAAGAAAATTGTAGTCAAAATCTTTTAAATAAAGCAAACTTTCTTAAAACAATTAATTGATTGAAGGACTTTTTTTCGTAAAATAAAATAAACTATTGTATTATAAAATACGAGTACTTCTACTAAAGAACACATATTTCAAAATTTTAAATTACTTAAAATTACGAACATAAAATATTTCACTAATTTACTATAGCTATATATAATTGATAAAACTTTATAACGTATTTAAAAACAAACAAATTTTTTTTATTTGCATACTTAGTTGAAATGATGCCGAATCAGGCCACCAAGCTCAAAAGAGAATAAATCAAAAATATTTCCCAAACTTTTATGACAATCGCAAGGGTTGTTAGAAATTATTCGTGCGAAGGATATTGACTAATATTTTTAATTAATATTTTAATTAATAATTTAAATTTGCTATAATGTTTTTAAAAAGAAATGTGTTTACAAAAAAAATTAAATGCAAATTTAAACGCATCAGATCTTCCTATTTTTCCAAATGGAAAGTTACTGAAGAATTACAAACAAGAATTTTCAATATAAAAATTCTTGCACTGAAAGTAATCTTTATTTAAAATAAATACAAATGAAATTTAGCATTCAATTAATATGCTTTGAAGACAATTATTAAACAATTGAAAATTAAAGATTATATTAGATTCGTTAAGTACCATATAAATTTTGTTTAGCAATCAAAAAGAGAAAAATTGCCTATTAAGTATTATTTGCGTTCGATTTTAATGTTCAAACTACTCTAGAGCTTATATACGTGGTTTGTATTGAACGGTAATTTCGGTATATGAGCAAAATATAACCTTAATTTTTGTGGTATAACCATTTTCTTTTCATTATTATACATAGACTTTTTATTATTCAAATGTTAATGTAATAAAATACAAATATGTGCATGATTAAAAGGCGAAAGAACTTCGAAAAATCATCCACACCAGCCGTCGGTAAACTTTTATAGATTATGGGCGAATATGTACTATGTGAGTATGAGTATGGGCCACTCGAGTTTCTTACATTAGCAACTTACAAGAAAAATTACATTTATAATTGACTTTATTGAATATTCTGTTTTGGCAAATAATGAATTTATATAGAATTTTATGTTTCTACATCTATTATCTATGATCGAATTCTCAAAGTTTTTTTGAAAAATTTTAATAGTCGCAATCGAATATATTTTTTTCTCTTGCAAGCAGTATGATGCGTCACATTTTCAAGTTGAATGGGCCGTATGCTGCCCGTGGGCCGCACTGTGCCAACAGTTGATCTACACATTTATTCGAGATAGTGTAGCTGTGCGCAATTTTAGTTACTTCTGAATAGTTTGAGCGTGTAAATGGAAAGCAAATAGCTTTAACTGCATTTTTATTTTATAATCATTGCAGGTTTTGTAAAAATTAAAAAAAATCAAAACGACTTCAATTATTTTTATTTTTCTAATTAAGAAAAATATTTATACACTAGAGTTTTTGAAAACATGCGAAAACAAATCAGAAAACTGAAAAATTGAACATAAAACAAAAAAAAATAGTATGAAGCATTCAGAATACATCGGAATATAAAAAATTAATAATTTATGGTTTTTGTAAATTTTCTTACTTCAGAATATCTCGGAAAATAATTTCAGCTTGGTGTGGCATATACATACATATGTACATATGTTCACATATGGCATTAGTTAAAGTTTTTAAATAAATTTAACGACAACATTTAATTGATTGAATTGTTTATTGTAGAATAATGGTTTTCTTTGATAAGAAATATTAGAATATTGATTTTTGCTTAACTTCACTTTACCTCTTTTACTCGTAGTTTATATTCTTTCATTTTTACAAGAAGTTCACAATATGATATAAACATCAATAAATTAATCCTTATTAGTAATCAGAATAATTGGGTTTAGTTTTGAATGACAAATCGCGGATGCAATATTTTTGTATAAAGTTATTAATTAAGAATTTAACTTTTCCAAATTGGAATAAAATTAGTTTTTTTAGTTTTCCTCTAATTAATATAAATGTAAAAAAATTATTAACAATTAATTTCAAAAGTAAAATTTGGGAAAAGAAAAATGTTATTCGGTAAATAAAAATTCATATTATTCGAAAAAATATTAAAATATTAGATTGAAGATAGCGATAAGTGTTTTGAGTAAGAGTCTGGCTAAACATAATTTTTTGACATAAAAGCATTATTTTAAAATTTCATCTTTTAAGTAATAGAATATTCGTTCTTTAAAGTGCTCATTTACGAAAGAGTTTGAGCAAACATAATCTTATTGCTCTGCTCACCTATATACGCTATCGATACTCTACACGAAAACATGTTATTTAATAGAAATTTAATTTAATAAATTTTAAAATTTATATACTTTGAACATGAAACTCTTATTTTTATGGTGAGAAGTATTAAAGTAGAGGCTGGAGGAAATTTTATCATAAAATCAAATACATTATACAACAATACTTGGATTTAATGGTTTGGCATCAACATTTTTGATGAATATTGAAATTCAATATTCATCAAAAGAGGAAAATCAATTACTCTATAAAAAATATTTAGAAACATGCGTTAAAAATTTATTCAATTTTATAAAACAAAAAAATTGAAAAATACAATTAAATAAATAAATATAGAAGTGTTCAAAAATAATTTAGCAAATTACATAAAAAAATATTTGGTACTTTTTTAAACAAAAAAAAAAATATATTTATTTTTCGCTGTTATTCTCTTAACTTTGTAAGCCTTTCTTTCGTGTATTTTTTCTTTATTTTTGTTAACTTACCAAGGAAATGTAATCTGTCTCTTGCCATTGACAAATTTGTTTGCATTTTGTCATGTAATCTTTGTGCACGCTCCCAAACTTCACCTCGACCGCTCCAACAATCGACTGCAATTCCATCTTCAAGCTCTTTAATTCCTTTTCTATATAACTCAATAGCAAGTTCTTTATGGCCTAAAAATTTAAAAAAAATGTAAATATTTGTTTTGATTTTTTAAATTTATTTGATTTTAAATAATTTTTTGTTATACTACGACAATTTAAATTTCTATAAGGTTATTGAAAAACGAGAGTGAAACGAATTTTCCAATTAAAAATGGCTATAAAAAATATGATTATAAAAAGTTTCCTATTTCTCATAATGTAGTGTAAAGTAAGACAGTAACTGTATTGCGATATATATAACGGAAGTTATTAGCAAAAAATTTTGGACACGTAGAAAATTAGTGAAAATTTGTTAAAATCCCTGTAATTTGGAAACCTTTCAGATTTTCCTAGTCCGGAGCAAAAATTTAATTAATTTTTAACCCTTTTAACAAAGGTGTATGTTGTTGTATACCTTTCTCAATCACCCTGTATATAATGTTATTCTAAAAATATTAAATTTGTAATACAACTATACACAGTGAAGTAAAGCGCTTTGACAAATTCATTATTGTTTTATAACTAATTTTAATTTTTATGCAGTTAAGTTTCCATCACTTTAAGTTTTAAATTTCTTTGTCCGATTTTCTATAATTAAAATGTCCAGTTGAAAGTTTAATTTATTTATAACCTTGCAGTAGAATAATTGAGACATAAAAGAGTCCCCTATCAACTTATACATTTTTTTTAAACACAAAAATAGTGTTGCTAATATCCTTTTAAAAAAAGGAAATGCAATTTTATAATTTTATATTTTTATAAACTTTGGCCATCATTCAATTTATGTACTTGACATATACTTTAAGTATATAATGTTATGTATTCACATTTCATTTACTATAAGCTTATATGTATGTCAAGATTATTTACACGCAGTCAGTAAGTGTCATTAACATCTAGTGTTTTGTCATGTGTACCTATAAGAGCGTCTATGATGCATATAGAAACAAAGGCTAGTTTTATTCATGTAACTATATAGGTATACTAAAAGATACACAAGAATATAAAAACATAATATTTTGTTATTTTGTTATACGTATAAGTGAATAATTTGTAATTTTTTTTGAAGTACATTCACATATACGACTATAATATTTTAGTTAAGCTGAAGTCTACTACAAATGAAATGAGCTTTTTAGTGGAAATTTATTTTTATATTAAAAATAGGAAAAAGTTTAGCCATTTGTTGGCTAATTCCTAAGCCAATATGCAAATTCTAAATTAGATTAATATCTCATTTTCTTCACTTTATATTTTACTATATAGGCAAAGTAAATTTTAACATACTGTTAATCGTTAAATAATAGTTAAGCTAAGACTTTAAGCAAAAATTTGTACAAAAATCATTGCAATATTTTGAAATTCATTTCTTTGAAATTTATGTCTTTTCCAAAATTTCACTGAAAACAGTGACGGTTTCCTGAACGAAATTTTTCTAAATTCGTATTTTTCTACAGAACATGCGATTTTTTACGTTCTTACTGGAAAATTTATTGTTTAAAAATTAAAATGAAAAATCAATTTTTTTTGTATCTTTAAAAATTTGAATATAAAATTTAAAGAGTTCAAGAAGTTCCCATCTATCTTAAATCATCAGTTTCAATAGTAATTATCATTCAAAATATATTATGTTAAATAATATACCCGAAAGTCGTATAAGAATAAGTCCTGTTGATTAACTGTATAATATCACTGTGTTTAAAATTAAATTTAAAGAAGTTTAATTACAAGTTTTGATTAAGTTCTTGCTATTGTAAAAATGATATGACGAGCATTAAGTTTATGAAATACAAGTAGCTTTTTTTTTCTTTATTTTTTTTACATTTTTGTTAAGTTGAGGATGACGTCAGAAATCAAAATAATTTTTAATATTCTGCTTTTGAAGTCAACGCATGTGTATTTTTGTTATTGTAAAAAAAATAATTAAAATATGTTTCTATGACATAATTTATATTGTGTACCAAACGCACATACATATTAATATATTTTCTGATATGCATTTTATATAAGTATCAATATACTTGAAATATGATAAATTTTGCATAAAAAATATTCATATTTCAGCAAGCACTTATGAACTAATATATATATGTGTATATTGGAAAAGTATTAAAAATTTTTCATATTTATTGCTGTCCTTAAGATTTATTGTTTTACTTCCCATATTCAAATATCAAAATAAAAATTAATATTGAACCCCCTCTCGCCCCCTATTAATAAGATTTCTTTTACTATTATAATATCAAAGTATGTACCGGCATTTTAAAAATACTGTTTGGAACATTTCTAACGAAATTGGGAGAAGATATGTTTATTAATTTCACTCTGTTCGCCCATGCGTCTGCTTATAGAACTAAACTATAATGGTTCTGAATGAACTATAACTGTTCATTTTAAATCGGTAACTTAGTTGTCGAATTTAAAATTATATTAATGTTCTTTTTAATTTTTGTCTTCGTTCTAAAAGTATGCAAGAATTTTCAAATATTAATTTTTAATTGTTTGAAAAGCGAAATGTGCTTCTTGACAAACCAATGTTTTGATTCGAACTTATTCACAGAATTTTCAAAATCTAATATTTTTCATTTAGAGGACTAAATTAATATTTTTAAATATAAAATAAAATTTTCATTGTAACATTATTGAAATTTATAATCGATATTACGTAAGTTTTAAGAATTTACATTTAAGTTGCATGCAGCATATTAGACATTTTCATAAACGCAATATATCGCGATATACAGCGAAAACTATGCTATATTTATGTTCTTACACAAATGTTGCAAATCTAGTGTGTTCATATAAACGTCTAACTTACCAAAAAAATATTTGAATTATCTTGACTAACGCAGTTAAGTCAGCTGAATTATTTTTGTTTGTTTTCAATTTTTAATATGTTTCATCCCATTAAAGGTTAATTAATTAAAGAACAACTAAAACAAAATAATTATGTAGTGTAAACTCAAAACAGCCACAAATTTTAAATAACTGTCAAAAATGTATTATTACATAATGTATACCTATGTCAATATTCTTATTAATTTTTTATAGCAAAGCTATAAGAAAGTAATTGAACTCATTTATGGTATTATACCATTAGTTGGGATTAATATTCTTATAGTACCATAAAGCTTTCAGAATAACAGTATTATAAAAATAATTTTCAATGTGCAATTACAAAACTTCAACCAATTAAATGTGTTCTTATAGTTTCTAGTTAATTTTTTATCTACACAAGTATATAATATAAACAAGTAAAAGAAATAATTTTGATCTTTCGCCTGTTCGAAATGAAATTTATTAAATTTTTTTTCTACTAGCTGAAAAAATCTCGAAAGACGAAGAAGGACGGCTCTATCTGCCTTTTTCCTCCGACAGTGGGGGAGCGTGGCTCTTACCCTAAAAAATCACCTAAACTGTGAACGGATAAAACTGGTCCTACAGACCAACTATTACCTCCGCGGTAACTTGGTTTTTCCGTACAGGAATTAAATACCTTCCATAAGAAAATTGGTATATCGTGTTAAATCGAATGGTCTTGTTCGTTTAAGTCTTTTTGTTATAACGCTATTGTCTAGCAGCCGAGCTGTTTCCATATTTACATGCTGTTCTAGACGAGCCCTATGCTTTGTAGCACAACTCCTAATTTCATCCACAACCAAAGGAATTCCTAAGTCCCTGTGGATATTCTTGTTACGTATATAACATGGTGACGTATGACCCGTAGAACTTTATTCTGGAAGATTTGAATTTTGTTAATGTGAGTCTTCTTGGCACAACCCCACAGTTGAATGCCATATAGCCATATTGGTTTAATGATTTGGCTATTAAATCTTATCTTATTATCAATTGCCAAACTGGACTTACGACCTAGGAGCCAATAATTTTCTCTATATTTATTTTCTAATTCTATGTGCTTCTTCTTTATATGCTCTTTCCACCTTAGCTTGATATCTAAAGTCATTCCTAGGTATTTTGCATGGTTATGAATCGCTACGGTTGTTCCATTTAAGTGAATTTGTGGTGGATTCACTATTTTCCGATTGGTGAAGTTTATGTGAACCGATTTTGCCTCATTCAACTTCATTTTCCAATCCCTTGTCCACTGGCTTATTTTGTTACTTGCCTTCTGTAATTTTTTTGTCGAATCGTCAATGTTCGCTCCTACTGCTAATAATGAAATAAATTTCTTAAGATAAAAAAAACTCATACGATAAAAAGTTCTTTTTCGAAATCTGTGATTCTTCCAAGACTTTTTTTGTGGAATATGAGACCTTACGAGCTTGAATTTCGAACAATGTTTCAAGTAAGTTATAAAAATAAAATAATAAAAAAAAAATAGAAAAAACTAACAAAAAAAAATAAAACTAGCACTAAATAATTTTTAATATTTATGACGTAATTGTTAATATAAGCGGCATAAATGCTTTCAAATAATTTTTTGTTCTTTTTGCACATACACACGATAGAGAATTACGAATATATTATAAGTATATGTATTACAAATTTGTTATGTTTATAACAGTTTTACTGTTACATTTTTAATTGCAGAAATTGTTCTTTTATTCTTACTAGGACTGACTAAATTTATAATTTGATAGTTAAGTCTTTAAAGCGGAACATTCCTATATTGACTTCTAAAATACATACTTGAGATCTAGTTAATTTGATTATGATCAATAAAATTTGATTATAATTATTAATAGGGTATGAATTATTTATAGGCTTTATTAATAAAACGAAAATAAATAAAAAAAATCTGATGTGATCAGCTCATAACCGAAAACTATTAGCCTAAAGTGTTACAGAAGATTATGAAAATGCCTTGAACACTTCCTTTCAATTTTAAGGAAGTCAGCAAGCTTTTAGTTACATGCCTAGAAAAATGTAAATTTGGCTCTCAGTAGGATTTCGCTTCGTGTCACCGGAATCTTTTTGGAGAGTTCACCAGTTAGTTTCGGTAACAACCAAAACTCAAATATCCAATTTCAAATAATTTCATGGTAAATACCGTAGATATGGGAAAAAAT